TTTTGTTTTGTTTTAGTTAATTTGACACATAAAAACATCAGCACTGCTTGTATTGGCGCATACACACCATATTTTGTCGCCTCTAGACGGTGTTGTGACCACCTGACCACCGCCCTCGATCTCCTTCCTTCCCACCTTCTGCAGCCCCACATCTGCCTAGCAGATTTTTTAAATGGTAGTTAATAGCTGGATTACATGGGTCACAGTGGGGGGTAGTTACCACAACCTAGTAAGACATAGAAAACTCCGTACATTTTCCTAAGAGGACGTTACTCACCCAACATTCTTCCCCCCAAATATAGACACGGTATTTGTTTGGGGGGGGGGGAGACGGGAAAGCAGCACCAAGCGCTTCTGAAGCCAGCGCTTGACCTGTGTCTAATGTCGCTTGGATCCGCTTCGGAATGCTTTCTGGGTTCTAAATGCTTTCTCAGAAAATGTCTGGCAGGGCTGCAAAATGAGTTCCAACTCTTCTTTTATGAGATTTACAACAGACTGTCAACACCATCTGATAACTGATTCTCCTGGAAATCGGCAGGGCTGTATAGATATCATCAGAATGCTGATGTACAAGTCATCAAGAAAGAAGAAACAAGGAAGAGAAAAACGTGTATCACCAGGGAAACACAGAATTTGCCAAACTCAACTCAGGAGAAAGAGCTAGGCAGGTTTCATTTTCGACTTCCATTTACAAGTAAAAACTGTTAGCACAATGCATTCGCCACCTGGTATGTTTTTTTCTTTTCTGTTTTGTGGTGTTACATATGGAACCCAGGGCCTGCCTTACACAAGCTAGGCAAAAGGTTTTTACCACCAGACAAACTCTTACCAGAGAAAGTGTTGGTTTTTTTTTTTTTTTAATTCTCATTGAGTTTTTCCCGCCTGCATATGGATTTCTCAGTGCATAGAATATCATATCTAATATGCACATCTATATACATGCTGGGAGTTGAACCTGAATTCAGGGCCTCATACATCTCCACCACTGAAGCACATTCAATCCAAATCTCTTAAAATATCCAAAGACAAACTAAAAACTGAGCGAACAGTGCATTGTGGAACCTGAGCGAATCAATGAGCCCATTCCAGGAAGGAAAAAAAAAAAAAGAAAAGAAAAGAAAAAGCAGTTGGCATGAACGACCGTGGTGTTTACTAGAAAACTAGCTTGCTTCCAGCACACAGTAGACAATGCACTGATCTAAACAAAATGTGTGAGCGTCCTGGCCTTGCTGTCAGGAGGGCTGGCTCCCCGGGCCTTCCCTGCCCACTGCCAAAACATTTCCCAGCGCCTCCTCCTCAGCCTGCCTTTGGACACGTTCCTTACTAAAACAAATAGGTCTAACAAATAATCTTTGATAGCAAATACTCATAAAGACAAACAATGAAAACTACTATGTTGTGTGTCTTAGGGCAGCCGGCACGGTGTGGAATTGCCACACACAGAAGCAAAACAACCAGGCTTGCCAGGCCAGCTCCCAGAAGTCAGCGGCTCATACCAACTTGCTCCTTTTGGGTGAGTAATTGTTCTGGCTTTGGGCAATGGTGGTCTTCTCCTTGGGCAGTCATGGTGTACCTCTATGTCGTCTGTCTGTGAAAGGAGCTAAACTACCTAAAAACAAACTGAGTGGTAGCATGCACGCTGGCAAACTGAGGGAGCTCGTCTCGTGGGCCACCCTGGCACCTTATGAAAGCATGTTTAGCGTTATCTAATCTGGTGCCTGTTTCATCACAGGGGTAGCCAATAATGTAAACCTTTGTGTGGAAGGAAGGAGGGAGAGAGCGCCTAGCCGGCCTGGCCGCTCCCTGGTGACCCAGCCCCCACTCTGCCCAATAGTCAGCCAGGAGTTTTGCCATCCCGTGACGGTAAGTGAGAAAATGATGGATGGGCACGGGTACTGTGAGGCAGGAATGGCTAAGAGACTTGCTTCCTTTTCCCATCTGTTCAGGAAGGACATCAGCGAGGTAGACTAAACACAGGTCCTGCTCGGGGTTCCCAGTGCATGCCTGTGGCCTGTGTGAACGCAGCCGCCGCCTGCAAAGGGACCTTCCTCCAAGGGTGGCAAACAAAGGCAGTCAGATGCCAGCCTGCTGGGCTTGAAGAGAAGCAGGGCAGTCCCAGACTGTCACAGTAGTCAGCAAGGACTCGGGGAGGCTCCTCTGGCAGCCTGGTTTGGTAGTGGTTACAACCTGTACTGGCCAGCAGTGAAGAAATACACTGAGTCAGGACTGGAGCTCACAGGCCCTGTCAGGTCCTCTGGGCTCACCGTAGTGGCCACTCCACCCCCTGACGTGTATATTGGTCCGTGGGAAAGCACAGCCCCTCTGCCCTTTTGGCTAAATGGTGACCAATCACCTCCACTCCAGCCTTGCACGGGGCCCTGGACCTGCCTGAGGTCTTAGGGCCCCTTTCAGTCCTCGGCCCGGTATCTTCACCCTATCGCTGGCTCAGTCTTACAGACCCAGACCAAACCCCAGTTGAGCAGTGGAGTATTTCTGAGGAAAGGCCTTGCGGCTCTAGCTCACTTCTCTCCTGCCCACCTTTCTCCATGGCTGTTCCGACTCTCTTCTCCAAGCAGCCTAACATTGTCACCCGCACTAGACATTAGAGCCTTGGTGGGATTTAAGGTGGAGGAACTCAGTGATGCGCTGTGGCAAGGCTGGACTAGATTTTTGCCGGTCCTGAGTAAGAGGATCCCTGCCTTGTCGCAAGTCAGCTTACTCTCCCAAGCCTCAGTTTCCCTCCCTGTGATTCCAGAAGTCTGACTTTGATGATTTGGGGGCCCCTGGCATGAGACCCTAGAGATAGATAACCTCAGCCATTGCAGGCCATGCCTTCCCAACCCCCTTGGCTTGAATTTTTTAACAAGGACTGAGAAGAAAGCTCCCAACCTTGCCTTGGGGGTCTGCAGCTTCCTAGGTGCAAGGTCCTGTCTGGTTGGTCCCTGGGATCAGGGGCTGTAGCTAAGTGTGAAGACAGAGACACCGTAGAGGTGGAGGGAGGGGGCTCCTCTCTTCTTCATTTGCTGGGCTCACTGGAGAAACAACCTTGAAGAAACCAAATATGCAGGGCCACCAAATGGCTTCCAAGGAGGGAGAAAATTCACCTGCAAGCAGGATTTGCATTTATTCACCCAGGTTCAGGAGGCTGAGGGAGGAGAATCTTGAGTTCAAAGCCAGCCTGGACAGCTTAGTGGTGAGACACTTGCCTGCTGTGTGCCGTCCTGGGTTCAGTCACTAATATAAACATTTATACATGAACATACTTTTACTTTACAGCGTTTATCCAGCTCATGTCCCCAATGTGGGCAGCCCCGAAGTCATGTATAAATGTGCAGATAAACTAGCCCAGCTCCAGTCCAGTGCATTTCATATATACAATATGTTAAGTATTGATATGTGTAGGTGTTCTTTCCATAGAGATACTAATAGAGCCCCACAGGGAAGTCCTGAAAAGGGTATCCGCTGTGTTCCCTGCTGTTAGAATCAGGCCAAAGGGGGAAAAAAAAAATCATGCCCCACATCCATGATGACTAATTGTTTAGTAAATATATCGTTGATCTGAAATGAACTTTACAATTGACATCTGAAATAAAGGTAAAATTTGCCGTTTGTGACATTTAATCATTTAAACTTCCCTCTCTCGTTGGCACACAAACTGTGTATTTACAGGTGGCATTCCAAAGGCCCAACGAGACACAGTGAGTCAAACCAGGAGGTTATATATCCTTTTGTCAGCTTATTCTCTTTAAGCTTCCCTTTCTCACGTGTAAGATGCAGATAATAGCATCAATGTCAGGGTCCTTGGGAGGGTTAAATGGAGTGCTTATTTGTAGCCCTTGGCAGGATGACAACATAAGTGCTCCAAGCATCTTAAGTATCCTTATTAGTGCGCTTATTAGTGTCTGTGCTTAAGAAGAAAGAACCAGCCTATGGAACAAGTTCACCTTTCATTAGCATTGGTGGTGCTGCCCCAAACCTTTGGGCAGGAAAAATCGCTGCTTCTTGTGGAGAGATTTTCTAATTCCAGCTGGGGTCTTTGTGACCTCAAACAAAAGGAGAGCTTTTCTAAAAGTAATTTTTTTTTGGGGGGGGGAATTGGGGTGTAGCTCTCCGTTGCAGCCAGGGCTCAGCGTGCTAGAGGCCCTGGATTCAACGCCCAACACCAAAAGGGGATAAAAACCAATTCCGGATTTGTTGCCCTATCTTGCAGTTTAAACCTGGTCAGCTATTGGTGTTAAAGAAAAAGGATTGTGGCAGCCACAGCTAAGTACTATGGAGTCAACGCCTCCTTTCTTTGCGCACATGTATTTCTGTCTAATATTCCGAGGCCACTTGCTTTCGTATTTACTGTAGTTTGTCTTTTCTTACAGCTTTACTTCCAAACTAAACAGCACTGGCTAATCCGAATGCATACCTCCTCAGGTGCCAGCGCGGAGCCTGTGTCTGTGTCTGCTCTGTATGTAAATACTGGCGCGCCTCTGCATTGGTAAGGCTGTAGGTGTGCATGGTCTGTTCTCACGCGGCGAGTTCGGGTGTGTAAATGCATGCGGGGGTGTGAGACCTCACCAGCAGCCACCATCACTGCCACTCACTAGTCCTGTTTTTTAAACCGGTTCTTTGGAGGTTCAGTTTTTGGTAATTAAGACTAAGGAGTGTTTTAAAAACAGAAGTACATTTTCCTGGAAACCAGCAGCCTTCATTTGCAACTTTTATTGGCAGACCTGGCGGCCAGTAAATGCATTCCTTGGCATCTCCCAGAAAGTAATTCACTCGGTGAAGCGGCTTTGCTTTTTCTGTAATGTGTACATCAATTTAAAGGGGCCCCTTGGAAGGAATGTGTCGCCGGTGGCTGAGAGCCCCCGATCTCAGGTCACTTCCGGCTCTAGGAAGAACGTCCCAAATCTATGCCTAGCGAGATGCTTACCAGGATGGGGCTAGTCCCGGGGGTCTCTGGGGAAGTGAGAATTGCTGCCTGCGAAAACAAGAAACCAGAGCCCGTGGGGGCTTCCTTCCAGCCGCAAGGTCCTCAGTCAACCCGCTTCCCCCGAGAGGCTCCGGAAAGGAAGGGACCGTCTTCGACCGGCCTCTGGAGCCCGGACGACCACAGAGGAGACGCGGAGGTGAAGCCGCGGGCGGCAGGGGGCGCTCAGAGCACGCGTAGTGTCGGGGGCTGCGCTTGCTGCTCCCCAGTCCAGGGACTGGCCGAGAGATCCGCGCGCCCAGCCGGGGAGCTCCGCCGGCCCGGGGCTGCCCAGTGGCCCGGGGTTCCACACCTTCCCTCCTTTCTTGCCTTAGCCGCCCGGGCAGTGGAAAGCATACAGAGGCTGGAAGAAGCTGCGGTCCCCCGTGCCAACCAATTCCATCTCAGATCGCCTGGGAGCGTCCGACCTCGAGCGAAACTCGCCGCGCTGAGTCAAATGCTAACTTTTTTTTTTGTGTGTGTGTTGTTCCTTAAGAGGTGCAAACACCCAGCTTTAGCCCAGGGCCCCCGCGGCTGCCTCCCAGAAAATGAGGGTTGTGAGGCAGACCTCCTTGAGTGCTCGAGGTCCCCAAGGCGCCTGGCTCCAGGGTACAGCGAAGTATACACTATGGGGGGCGTCCCAGAACCCGGGCCAGTGGAGACTGCAAGCGGGTTGGGAGAGTCTGAGAAGGGCACCCAGGGAGGCAGAAAGAAAGACTCGCTGTGGCACTGGTGCTTGGGTGTTGGGCAGGTGACCTGGGACCAGCCCTAGGTCTGCAAGGTGCAGTCATTTTCACTGGCCTGGGCATCCTGGATCGTTTGCGGGTCAGTATCTCTGAACACAGCATTTCACCGCAAGACTTATGGTCCAGGTCTTGGAGCGCAAACTTTCCTCTGCGGCCCAGGGAAGGCGCTGGACTTCGCCCCACTGCCGAAGCCAGCTCGCACCCGGCAGTCTCTGAAAATGCGAATCTCCCGGGGCTGAGGACCTGCTGGCATTTTACTGATGACCAGCGATACGCCCAGGTTAGGAAATGAAAGGGCCTCTTCCTTTTCGGGCCCTAGAGTTTGGCTGCCACCATGAATCCATGAATATTTTGGGAATCTGGATCATGAGGAACCAAGGCGCGGGCATTTGCCGGCATACACAATCTACCCTCTCCCATTGCCCACCGTTATTCTTCTTTCTTTCTTTTCTTTTTTCTTCCTTCCTTCCTTCCTTCCTTCCTTCCTTCCTTCCTTCCTTCCTTCCTTCCTTTCTTTCTTTCTTTCTTTTTTTTTTTTAAGAAGTGACAGTTTAGCTCTTTATCTACCTCTTCCTAGACAAAGAAAGGTCCGAGTCTTTTGTGACCAGGCTCCAAAGTTAAAGATTCATTTTTCCCATGCTTTGTGGCCCCTTTATGGTTCAACTCCCCTCTGAACCGAGGAACCGCTCTGAAAATGTCGCTTTCCCGCAGAGGGGTGACAAACGGGTCCACCCCAGGGGTTAAAGAACAGGTGTTGGCTCTCTTTCTCTCTCTCCCTGTAAGCAATTAGAAAGGCCAAGAAGACTAACCTCGAGGATTTAGAAGATGACATTAAATTATCTCATGCAAAAAGTTCCCGTGGAGGGCCACGTCTAAATGGACAGCTATCCGATTAATTCATCCATACGGATAAGCGATGTACGTACGCATTTTGTGTTTGAAGTAATCGAAAGATAAACGCTGTTTTCGTTTCTTGTAGGAATTATTCAAAGAAAGGGTTGAATTAGAGAGACCTCGTTAAGAACGGACGTTCTGCTGTCAAGCCTCCTAGGGAGGAAGTCCATCGGCAAGTCGCAGCCACCCAGGTGTTGCCCCCACCCCCTGCCTCCTCCCTCTGGTGAAAAGTCACATTAATGACAAACTCTACGTGCCGCCTGACAGTTTGATAACGAATAACGGGCTTTGACCCCAGGACATCCTCCCCTCCCGCGGGCTCCGGGTAAGGAAAAAGGCCAAATGGAGAACTAAGGAAATTCTCTAAATAGTTGAAAGACACCTCCAAACGTACTTTGCCCTACTTGTCTGTCGTGGTAGCTTCGTGGGAAGTTTTCCATACGCACTCCTGGGACAATTGTCCATGTCCCATTTCATCTTCCAGCGGGGCTGGGGATGCAGTCTCTACTGACCCCAGCCCCCTAGGAAGCTCTGCAGAATTGCCCCCTCTCTCAACTCCGGACTGGGCAGGGCCGCTGGGACCAGCACACAGGCGTCCTGACCCTCAGTACCCACTCCTGGGTTTCCAGGGTTAAACTCCGAAGCCAAGAGAAGGAAACTCCCAAAAAACGGGCAAAGGAATCATATAGGTCGGCCTGGACTGAGTGGGGCCTGCCGAGTACCTCCCAGGGAACCCAAGCGGGACAGCTTCACACCCTGCAGGAGTGAGTTTCTGCACTCGGCCCCCAGTCCAATCCCCAATCCTTAACTAGAAGACGGAAAATAGCTTTTCCAGGTTCTGGTGACCCGCCTTGGTGCTGCTGGCCCTTGGCCCCACTCCCCATTCCTGTGGTGTCACCA